ATATTAAAATAAAAAGAGTTTTTTTAATAAAAATACTGGGAATAATGTTTTTATAAACATTTAAATTGGAAAAGATAAATAAAGTTTGTCGAGAATAAAGTTTCATCGATTCTGGAGATTGTACAAAACATTTTTTGTACAAGACAAAACATTTTTTGAATATTATGTTTAAAAAATTTATACTATTTATTTATACATAATCAAATTAACTATTGTAATAATGCCTAGGCAAACAATCATCCATCTTTCCTAAAGAATGTTTATACAAAAAAAAAAGCAAGCAAGTCGATTAGTCTTGGGCACAGATATGTAAGAAAGTGCCGAACCAGGTACTCAATATAATAAACGCTTTAAACGTATACAAACTAAATATTTACCATAACTTTTTATTTATGTTTAAACTTCAAAATGAAAAAATTCTAAAATTTTTTAACAAAAGTTTCTCTTAATTAATCATAAATATGAAATAAGACACTCAATAAGTAATTACTACATTCCACTACAGAGCCGTAGGAAGCTTTTTTTTTAGTCATTTTTTCAGTCAATTTCTACAAAACTATTTATTTGAAAAATTATTGGAGGGGGGGGGGGGCAAATGCCCCTGCTGCCCACCCGGTTGCTACGGGCCTGCACTAACATCACTAAAAAAAAGTGACTTCTCAATTACTTGTCGGGAATCATGCTTGTGGAACTCGGTTCTTGACGTAAATATGAAAAAATATATATATATCGAGATATTTAAAATAACTATAAAGAAACACTTAATTTAAACAATACATAGACTCTTTAATTTGTTGTTATTTTTTATTATAATTAATTTATTTTTTTATTTATTTAATTTATTTATTTTAATTTAATTAATTTTTAATTTTAACAATTAACTAAAAATTAATTTTTTTAAAAAAACAATTTTATTTTAAGATATATCTTTCTTGTTGTTTTTGTTTGTCTGTTTTAAAGAATTTATGTTTTTAAATTTTCAAAATGTTTTTCTCCTTAAATCTCCTTAAATTTTAAATCTCTTTTAAATATTTGAATATATATAAGTATATGTTACGTATTGTATTCAACATGTATACGTATATGAACTAGGGTTTCTCATTTCCCGTAAATTTAGCATCCCGGGATTCCCGGTGTGTAACTTATTTATCCCGGGATTTCCCGGGATTTCCCGGCATAATTTTTAATATAATAACAAGCGGTTTCTGACACAAATTTATCTTAGCACGCTAATCTATATTACTATTTAAAATGAAATATTGTTTTAAAAAACATAAACAATCAATTGATTTGTCACTTAATCGTGAACGAATTTTTCCCATAAATAGACCCGCGGCAGAAAAAGCCCTTTCTGATTCAATTGATGTCGGCTTGATGGTCATTAATGTTGAGTATATTCTTTCTAAACTTTCGCTACGCTTTCCAGTTGCCTCAAAAAGTTTGATTTCTTTTGTGAGGTTTTTTAAATTGCTAATGTTTTCTAGAGCTGCTTTTTCTACTTGTTTGACATTACAAATAGTCGCATCCAATTTTTGTTCAAGCGTCAAAATACTTTTGCCTAATAAATATGGAGCAACAGGTTGAGGTATTGACGGGTCAGAAACCATGCTTTCATTATCACGACTCACTTCAACTATTTCATTATTTGATGAACTAAGGCTAGCATCCTCTATGTACAACCTGGTATAAATTTTTTTTGCTGTTGCTTTTAATGCATGTTTGGGCGGTAAGAGTAGTTTGGAGTTGATATTTGATTCCTGATTATAACTAATTGGGTTGTTTAAAAATTTTAGTAATCCAATTAAATTGGCATTTCTGCGTTCTTCAATTCTCTGCTGCACAGATTGAAGCAGTTTATTAGCTATAAAATTTTTTTTCTCCGTCAAATCGTCTAAGATGAATATCATTACACCTTCTGCGTCAAGTAGAGTAGCATTACTTCTACCAAGTCTTTCTATTCCAACTTTTATTGGTTGCAGAGAAAATGTTATGTCGTTCATAATCGCATATTCATCTTCGGAGATATTCAGAACTTCTTTTAAATCGATCATTGCTTTTAGTATACATGTTTTTACTTTAAGGAATCTTTCTAGCATTGCAACAAGACTATTCCACCTCGTTTTGACATCTAATATCAGCTTAAGCTCTTTATTAAACATAGATTTTACGTACATTTGTAAAACTTCATTTTTAAGAGGTGATTTACGGAACATTCGAACCACTTTTCGAACCTTCTGAATTGTTGAGGCTATATTTACGCTATTTTGTAAATCATCAATAAACGTAACGCCTGTTGAGCTGTGTGACTCATCATTACAGTCAAATACATCATCAAACTCGTCGTAATCACTCAAATTTTCATCGGAATCTTGAAACTGCGATTCAAATTCAATATATTTTGCTGAAGAGTCTGACTTTTTGTAAAGAACATCACATACTGCCAAATGAAGTCCGTGGGCATAACACAGCTGATGTTCAATACCACTTAGCCGTCCAAATTTTTTCATTACGGATGCTCCGTCAGTGACACTAGCTATGATGTGCTTTTTAATTGATAAACTGAAATCTGACAGTTTATTTTCAACTAGATCAACAATTTTTTCTGCAGGAAGTGATCCAGCTATCGGAGTCATTCCCAGGTTCCAAAACTTTGTTGATAAGTGTAAATTTACATTTAAATAACGTCGATTTTTTAAAGACGTATATTCGTCTAACGATAAAGAAAATCGCGACCCGCTAGAAATTTCTTTTGTTATCTCTAAAACCACAGTTTGTCTAGCTAATTCATATTGTTTTTTTATCATACTCATAACATGGGATGGATTTTTTGGTAATAACATGCCTTTTTCAGACAATGATTTTCTAATGAATTCACTTTTTGTTATGGCATTTATTGAGAAGCCATCCACCGTTGCTAGCTTTGACACAATTTCCTCGATAGTCTGCTGTTTAACAAACAATGTTATTTTCTTTTGAACAATTTTATTTTCCGAACCAGTATCTTCAAGTAGACGCTTCATATTTAGATCCAAATCTTTATGTGTGTTTTTTAAATGACGTAGGAGCCCACTGGTCGAAAATCCTTTGCACATTATCTTTACATTGCACTTTTTGCAAATTGCAGATTCGCCAGATTTTTCTTTACAAAAATACTGCCATGCTTTGGATCCATTTACAATTGACATAGTATAACTAAATTGAATCGCAGAACAACTAAAAGTAAAGTTACAAATATTTCTTACATATGTATGTTATCTTACGTATGACTTTTATGTGTTTGTTTGCCGTTTTTTAAATACAAAAATTATTAAATATTTCAATAATTTGATACAGAAAAAGTTTAACTTTTCAATAATTTAGAAGTTTAAAAATTAAACTTACTGTTTTCGTCGCAAGAAATCTTTTTTATTTTTTACTCATATTTTATAATAATGAGAAAAAAGAAAACATTGCATTGCAATGCATTTCTTTTTAGTTTAAGATAGTTTCAATAGCATTTCTTGTTGTGCTAGGTTTTAATATAAGGTATGAACACATAAAACACAACTAAATGCAATAATATTTTTCTTATTTTTGGTCAAATTAGTTCAAAGTTATCATATGTAAAATTATTTTAAAAAAAATTATATTCCGGGATATAAGAGAGATATCCCGGGAAATCCCGCTGCCACTTTTATCCCCGGGATCCCGGGAAAACGGGATCCCGGGATCCCGTTTGAGAAACCCTAATATGAACCGATTTGTAAATTTTTTATATTAACGTTATATTACGATACGTATATGTAATTTTGTAATTTTTTTTTTTTTGCAAACTTTATAATTTTTTTCAAACTTTTTAATTATTTTTTTTTAAAACTATTTAATTTCGATTTTTTGTATAATATTTGAACTTTAAAATTTTTTTCTTCTTCTCTATTTCACAAAAGGGGCTTGATGATAAAACATTTTGTCTTCTACTTACCCCAATCAAATTGTAAGTATATATATTTATTAGAAATTTTAAGTTCTATATGTCAATATGCACACATTTTACAATGTAACCCTTAAAAGGATTACATTGTAAAATGTGTGCATATTGACGAAATAAATAAATTCTGTAAAGTATTTTCGACAAGTCCGTTTATCTACGTAAACGCAATGCGTTTGACTAGTCCGTTTACAGTAACGGTAAACGTGAGTTTAGCGTTTAAATGTTAATTTATTTAAAGATTACTTTAAAATAAAGATAAGGACGAAACAAATTATAATTTCAGTGTTGCCTTTTATCTTTTCATTGTGTTTTTCTCTCAAATTTAAAGTCATATTTAGTTGTTTTTTGAAAAGTTGCACCGCTCTAACCGTTTGCAGGGCCGCCGAGAGGAGGGGGGAGAGAGGAGAGAAAGAGACAGTTTATCCCGGGCGACAGATATCCAAGGGGCGCCAAATAAAAATGAAGGTACTTAAAATAAATTACATATTAATACATAAGCCTAAGATAAAATTGTATTATAATATATAAAAACAAAAAGGTCTTTATCTTATTTTAAACCAAATAGCTAATTATTAATTTTATATCATTGGTTTAACAATATAATTTTTTACGATTCACGTGTTTGTAACGATATTTAAGTTAATAAAGTTAGCTTTACGTATCTATTTAACTAAATAAGTATATACATTACGTATACATTTAAATAAATAAGTATATACATTACGTATACATTCAAGTAAATAAAGTATAAGTCATGTCGCCATTAGTAAAACTTTTTCCTTAAATAACTGCAGCTCAACAATTGCAACTTATAAAATACGAATAATTTGGGTTCAAAATAAGCAGGTAATAAATTAAAAATTGGGATTAGTGTTGATTAAAAAAACTACTTGTTTGCAATTTTATTGTAAAAATATATTTCAATGTCGTCAAACAAGAAAATTCTTTACTCCAATAAAGATGATTTTTTATGGATTAAAGAATTTTTTACAACATTCCTAAATCACTTTAGAAATATATAAAAACCATGTAGAAAAATGTATAAATATATTTCACATTTTTATAAAAAAAAACTAACTAATATAATAAATATAGTGTATAATTTATTGTCAAATTTATTTAATCACAGCTATTGCGTACTTGTGTGGAGTATTCATATAAATACTAGTGTGGAGTATTCAGATCTGTACGCTACAAGTGTCAAAGCGATGATTGACTTGATGACGCAACAAACAAATTTGAGTGCGCCATTTTAAGTATCTAACTGGAGCGTGCTGAGAATTCGCCTGTTACTTCTTACCAATATTCTAAATTTAATATGTATCTATAATTTAATATATATATATATATATATATATATATATATATATATATATATATATATATATATATATATATATATATATATATATATATATATATATATATTGGTAGAAAATCACTAATCAATTTTTTTTTTTGATAAACTGTTTCATCTATACACTGCAAAAAATGAATTTTTATTTTAAGCAAAAAAAAACTAAATGCTAGAAAATTCCAAAATTATGTCCGAAAAAACTCTGATGTTTGCATTATAACTGACAAAAGTTTGACGATTGTATCTTACTTGGTCTCTTAAAAGATCATGTAACTAAAAAAGTTACATGATCTTTTAAGAGACCAAGTAGCGTCAACAAGAGCACATAGTAGGTGTACCGTAACTCTAATTACAAACTCTAACTATTGTGCAGATTAGGAAAACAATAACGTTTTTAATTATTTTACAAGAAAATACTCATATTTTTCAAACAATATGTTCATAACTTTACAATAATCAAACTTTACAAATAAAAATAATCTTTATTAGATAAATTTACGAACAATATAAAGAATATTTGGAAAGGGATAAAAGAAATCATTATTATTAAACTTTTTTACTGTAGTTCAACTCTCAAACTTAAATTAAAAACAATATTTTCACAGATTCGACTGCTTATCACAGATTCGACTGCTTATCACAGATTCGACTGCTTATCACAGATTCGACTGCTTATCACAGATTCGACTGCTTATCACAGATTCGACTGCTTTATTGAATATATTTAACAACTTTTTTGTTACTATCCAAGACCAACTACAAAACAAAATCATACCTTCAACATACAAATTTTCTAATGCTAACTGGTTTTATATTGATCCTATCACAAAGAATGAAATCTCTAATTTTATTAAAACCACTCTTGGAACTGGAAAAAGCTTTGATCCAACAAACTTTCGTACACTCCTTCTAATACTTATTCCCAATATTATTTCTAAGCCTTTAAGTATTACAATGAATAATTTATTTCAGAATGGTTCATTTCGAGTGACTTTCAAAGTTGCTCAAGTCACACTAATATTTAAAAAAAGATCTACAATTGATATCTAACTACCATCCATCTCCTATCTTTTTATTCTAAGCTAACTTTTTGAAAAAGCTACGCATAAGAGACACATTCTTGGATAAATTTAAAAGTCTTTACAAACACCAGTATTTTGTGCTAATCATTCCACAACCCACTAAGTCAATTAGATAAGCTTTTGATGATAAAAATGTTGCATGTGGTGTCTTGCATGTGGTGTCGATCTACAAAACCTTCTGATACAGTAGATCACTTAATCCTACTCAAAAAATTAGAGTATTTTGGAATCAAAAGTTTACATCTTAATAGGTTTACTTCCTATCTTCACAACATATGGCAGTTTCCATTAACTACTCAAATTCTATTCAAATAAAATGTTCAGGATTAATTAATGACTCAATGACCTCAATAATTTTGTTAAGTTTTTAATCACTTACCACTTCACTAATGATACTAACTTGCTCATTATCTTTGAAAAAAAATTAACAAACACATTAACTATGATTTTTCTAATCTAATTCAGTGGCTTTGTTCAAATAAGCTTTCTCTTAACTGCAGCGAAACTGAGCTAATTATATTTAAATCCAATAAACCAAAAATCAAACAAATTTCAGATTAAAGTATCAAATATCCTGGAATTAAAATTGACTCCAACCATTCGTTTGTATTTGTATTAAAGGCTTAGCCATAAAATTGAGCAGATTAAACGAAATTTTGGCTAAAGTTTGCCATTATGCCAATCTAGAAACCATACCATGTTTGGCCCTCATATTTGATATGCTCGTCAAGTATAGGTATAATCCCAATAACAAGCTATCTTACTTCTAAGGTTTTTGAAACTTATGATCTTGTTTAACTCCTAAATCGCCAATTTCTCTAGAATCACCAACACAAAAACCAATCTATTACCTTCAACAATTTCTTCCCTAAAAGTGAAAATAACTGTTACTTTTTTGGATTTATTCATAATCTGAATCTACCAGTCTTAAAACACTGTTCTGCTACTTATAGACATATATCCTTAAAGTACCAAAGTATAAAATCTTGAATTCATCCCTATTATCTAAAAGCTCTCCAATCAAATTATCTTTTTAAAAGCTACAATTTCCTAAATAAATTGCTTTTCTAAATACAGTTAACACACACTTATATTCATACACATATTTTATACAAAAAAATGTTTATAAATATAGGGTGTGTATATGTATGTGTGTATTTACAGAAGTTTATTCTAGTATTATTAAATTACTACTGTTTTTGATCATTGTTATTAATTTGACTATTATTTGTGTTATTGTTGTTATTATTGTTATTGTTACTACTTGCGCTCTTATTATTAATTTAGTTATATCTGTTATTAATATTAAGTTTAATATCTATTTCAGAAATATATTTTAATACTAATGTAAATCAAACAACTAAAACAAATTTTTTTTTTTTTTTTTTTAAATGGTTTTTTTTTAAAAACTAGTTATTAGCAAATAGTATAAACATTTTTATTTACAATATTTTTACATTTTTATTTGTAATATTTTTACCATTTATTTTTAATTAACTGTTAAGCTTTAACTCTAGATTCAAACTTTTACAACAATAGATAAACTAACCAATCATTACTTTTACAACAATAGATGGATAAACTAACCAATCATTACTTTTACAACAATAGATAGATAAACTAACCAATCATTACTTTTACAACAATAGATAGATAAACTAACCAATCATTACTTTTACAACAATAGATAAACTAACCAATCATTACTTTTACAACAATAGATAGATAAACTAACCAATCATTACTTTTACAACAATAGATAGATAAACTAACCAATCATTACTAAAATCTCTAGATTCAAACTTTAACAACAATATATAAACTAATAAATCACTACTAAGCGCATTAATCACACCTGCTATTAGACCTACTTAGACTCATCAACCAATTTTATACCTACTACTAATTAGACTCATCAACCAATTTTATACCTAGCCCCAGTCTTCCCATGTCATATGATTTTAACAAGTAGTAAAAAATAATGTAACTAATATCAACATATAAAAAAATGTAATTAAAATTTTTAGATAACTATGTATCACTATGATAAACTTTATTTTGTAATGATTATAAATATTTACCTCAATTTTTAGTTCAGGAAAAATCTCCAGTAAAAGTTCGTCAAGCAGCACATATAAAAGCTATAACATTCCATAAGTAAAACACAAAATGATATAAACAAACATATAAACCTATTTAAAAAATAATTAAGCTTAACACATACACAAATATTTGAATTTTCAAAAAGTTAATTTCATTTCAACAATTTATAACAATTTTCACAAAAGCAAGGATTTACGAAAACTATTTTTTTAAGCTGTTACAAACTTAACTTCTTTTTCACATTGTTTAAAACTAAAATAACAAAACATAACTTGGCAAAATAAAAAAATTGCCATTATATACAAAGTAGTCTTATTTGGAGAAAAAGCTTGTTTGTAAAGCTAGTAAACTTTTGAGGTAATTGCAAAAGGTAGGGAAAATTTTTTTTATTTCCACTATTAAAAATTTCTTATAAGTTATTTAGGTGCTTCAAGAAAACGCTGTTATTACAGAGTACCGTGGAATAGTATTTACCCACGAAAGTTTACTCTTCCTTCCTTACCAATGATGTATATATGGCGAGAGTTGGCTCAGGATAATTACCACAACATGGGTTTTTTGAAGCCAGCACGCCATAGTGGCATGCTGGCTCCAAAAACCCATGCAAAATTTTTCTAAAAAAGCATATTTATATGGGATTTTATCATATATGTTTGACTTAAAGGCCCATAAATATATAAAGACCCATAATATATAAATGCTACATTTTATAACTTCAAGTACTAATTAACATTACATTGCATTTTAAAAAGAACTGACATCAGCAATGACATTATTACTTAGAAATATAATATCAATAGATTTAAGATAAAGTTTAAATAAAATGTAGAAAAATGAAAGGTTAAATAAATAAATTTAAATAAATAAAGGTTAAATAAATTTTGTAAATGTGGAAAAATCAATGGAATAAGCACAATTTTTCTTTCAATATTTTAAATTTCTTTCAAATTTTTTTTTTTCTTTTTTCAAAAATAAATCTTAAAATAAAACTTTTTAGAAAAGTTAATTTTTTTAAAATCTTTTTTTAACATTTTGAAAATAATTTGACGACATAAAAAGATTACAAGCAATATTTTTTTTAATATCAAAAAATAGCAATAGTAATTTCTTTTAATTAACTAATTTCAAGATTTTGAATTCTCACCCAACCTTTGTAATCACTTAATTTAACCCTTGATGCAAACTTTTTAACTTATTTACAATCGTTAAAAGCGATTTATGTGACATAAAAAAAGACAATACTAACATCATATATTTTTATACTGGTACTATGCTGTTAAATATTTGATGCGCGATTTAATGATAAAAGGTTATTCATATCTTTAAAATTATACTAAAGCATCTGATCGTTAAATTTAGAACAATGAACTTCGTTTAAAAAATTTTTTTTTTGCGTAATTACATTGAGTAACTATATTATTAATTAAAAACATCAACAAACGAGTCAAAATGTTTTAATTAAAATGTCATTGAAACAGTTAGAAAAATGAAAAAATTCTGAACAACCATCTACAAAATCCTTCTCCATTGTTACTTTCAATCGCTAAAGCATCTGAATCTAGCAAAACTACTGTTTGTATGGTCATAAAACAATACAAGAGCTCTCTATCTATCGAATGAGCAAAACGATCTGAAAGAAAGATTGGCTTTAAGAATAAGAAAGCAGCAATTAGTATTCGACGATCATTTACTTTTGCAGTTTTATTGAAGTCATGATGTCCCCTGTTGGTTCTGGCCTAATCTTGCCTCTTGTCATTATTCTAAGAAGAGTGGTACAATTCAAGAGAAATCAAATTCATACCAAAAAGCTTGAATCCATCAATCTGCACACAGTTCCATCCCATTGAGAAATTGGCAAAGGATATTTGCAATGCCCAACAGATACCCAGTGGGCATGGAACTCGTTTTGGATGCCTTTTGAATGTTTTTGATGTCTTTGGGATGTTTAAAAGACCTCTTTTTTAGGAACCGTGCCCTCTAGGTAGAATTAGAATTAAAATTCGAACTAAAAACTCTAGTTTTGTGTAAATAATATATAGAAAAAAGTGTTTATTTACCCAAAACGTTTTTTTTTTTAAATCTAATATCCGGTAGTAGTGTAGTAATAGTAATACAATAACCTTGTAATCATGAGAGTTGGTTAAAAATTAATTGCTGTAATTGGTATAGTTTTGGGTTAGCAAATGTGATCAAAACAAATATTCCAAAAGTTATGATTTATGTTCATAAAGTTCAGGAGACGGAGCCAAACTGGGAGACGAGCTGGAGCCGGATATTTCTTAGGAGCCTGCACTGGGCATTACTTAAAGTTTAAAATTTTTTTTTTATTTTTAGCTCTTTCTCTCTGCACTCAAGTACACAGAAAATCAATACAATGAAAGGTTATTTAAAGGTAACATAATAATAAAAATTTTACTAAATAATGAATTTTATTAATTTCAGGTAAATTGACTAATGTGATTTATGCTATTATCACTTTGTAAACTATGCATAGGGTCAAACATAAAAGCATGTCATTATGAAATTTTAAACTTTTAAAATACTTTTTTTTTTATTGGAAAGTACTTTTTCAAAACAAGTTAAATGTTTTTTGATTATTTTAGATTTTGAAAATACCTGTTTATTGAGCTTTGGATACTGGAACATCTCAAAAATGATTTTAATGGCTTGGTCATAGTTTTCAATGCCAATTAAACTCCTTAACCTCTCTAAATCACAAGATATCAAAATTCAAAAATAAATTATGAATACAAAAATGTTAAATAAAAGTATAATAATTTATAATAATTACAAAGTTAAAAAAAAGAAAGAATAATCCGAAAATTAGTTTAAACAGTGTTTAACAGCAAGTTATATAAGAAATATGTCTAATACATCAAAGATGTATTGTTTAGACTCTGATTACAAGACATACAATATTAAATCATAACATTTATTTTTATTTTTATTATTAATATTAATTTTGACAACAATAATATAAGTTATTTTTATAGTATTTATAAAATACTAGTATATAAGTTGTATGATGATAACAACTTAGTTATCATCATACAACTTAGTTATCATCATACAACTTAGTTATCATCATACAACTTAGTTATCATCATACAACTTAGTTATCATCATACAACTTAGTTATCATCATACAACTTAGTTATCATCATACAACTTAGTTATCATCATACAACTTAGTTATCATCATACAACTTAGTTATCATCATACAACTTAGTTATCATCATACAACTTAGTTACCATCATACAACTTAGTTATCATCATACAACTTAGTTACCATCATACAACTTAGTTATCATCATACAACTTAGTTATCATCATACAACTTAGTTATCATCATACAACTTAGTTATCATCATACAACTTAGTTACCATCATACAACTTAGTTATCATCATACAACTTAGTTATCATCATACAACTTAGTTATCATCATACAACTTAGTTATCATCATACAACTTAGTTATCATCATACAACTTAGTTACCATCATACAACTTAGTTACCATCATACAACTTAGTTATCATCATACAACTTAGTTACCATCATACAACTTAGTTATCATCATACAACTTAGTTATCATCATACAACTTAGTTATCATCATACAACTTAGTTATCATCATACAACTTAGTTACCATCATACAACTTAGTTATCATCATACAACTTAGTTATCATCATACAACTTAGTTATCATCATACAACTTATCTAATTTGTTAATTAACAGAAAGTATTAATACACAAGTATTAAATCATCATAAAATACTTTTAAAATAAAATAACCTTTAAAAAATTACCAGGTAAAAAATCAAGCAGTTCAACTAGTGCCTGATCTCTTCTTGCAACTTTATCAGAATCAGTTCTTGGCGGTTCATTATCAAAAAATATAATATCTAAAATAAAAGTAATAAATATAAATATAAAAATAACCAATAAAATTTTAACAATAGTAGGAAAAACCAATAAAATTTAATTAATAAAAATAAATATAAGCATAACCAATAAAATTTTTACAATAGTAGGAAAAAACAATGAAATTTAGTTAATAAAGATAAATATAAGCATAACCAATAAAATTTTAACAACAATAAGCAAATGCTATAAGCAAAAGCATTTACTCTTTATCTGAGATAATGTTGTATTTAAAAAAAAAAAGAAAACAAACCTCTGATAAGATGAATATAAGAAACAAGCTGCAGTTCAGCAGTTACTAGTGAAAGCTTGTATGTAACATATCTAATAAATAAATAATGACTCTTTATTTAATAACTAGGAACCACTTAAATTTAATAAACCAATATCAAGGCCTAAATTAGTCAATATAATGATAATTATATAGTTAAAACTAGTAAAACAATAAACTCAGGGGTGGTCCTAGGTTGGGTGGTTTAAAGCAATATTGTAGGTGGATCAAGGTCAAGGATAAAACTCTACATCTAATGTAAAGTTTAAACAATTAAAACCTTTTATAATCTTATAAATTTAAAAAAATAAAAAATATTACAAGCACATAAAAAAGAATCCAAAATGGGTTTGTACTATCTCGGTATCAAGGAATTTTATTACTGTAAAAAAAATTGTTTCATTCAATATTCCATTAAAAAAAAAAACTTTCAAATGTAAGTTTCAAATTTAAGAACTCAATGTGTTAAAAAATAAAACAGTAAAGCTGTTGTTACCTATATCAGACTATTAATCAAAACCACCTACCTTTCAACAAAAGCATCCAATGTATTCAAACAAAGATATTGTGCACATATTAGAAGGTGATGAATCCAAGGAGCTACCTTCAAAAAGTTTCTGGCTGTAAAGAATGTAAAATAACCTTATGTTGCTTATGAGAAAAGAATAAAAATACTTCATAGTAAATTTTACTATACATAACATATAACAATAACATAGTAAGATTATACCAGCATATATTATATAGCTCGTAACACCACAGGGGTATTCAGTATCATTTGAAGAGTAGAATAAATGACTTTGAGGATTAATTGAACTAAATGAAAAACAAGAAAAAACAGCTTTTACCCATTTTCATAATAAAAAACATTTCAGTTTTATTTATATTTTATATGTAGAAAAAATCATTACATAATCCACAACACAAAACTTAATAATATTAAAATATATACAACATTAAGTTTATAATACACATTGTACATGTAATACACATACAGAATAAATATTCAGCAAAAAGTATGCTTGTAATACACATTTACTAGATATGTAATTTTTTACTTTGTTTTTATTTTATTTTAAAGATTTTAAAAAAACTAGTTTTTTTATTTAAAAAAAAAGTTTATTTTAAAAAAACTAGTTTTTTTTTTTACTTCTAAAAAAGACATTTAAATATTACAAAATCAAGCAAACATTAGCTTTAAAGCCTTAATATCCCATAGAAAAATTTCTTATTCATGAAGAAAGAAAAATCTATTCAATTTTTTTATTACAGTATCTAGCATTTTAGTGGTTGTTCCTCGCTGTTTGCACTTTGAAAAAATCAATTATACTGTTTTAAGAATTAGTGTTGATTGTATTAAAACCTACCACATGTTTTGAGGAATTTGAAGATAAGGCTAAAAATAAAATTAGTTTTTAAAAACGAGGATATTATTAAAACATGATACTTTATCTAAAATGAAAATAAATAAAAAATTACCCGACTGTTAAGTTTCTGATGTTGATGTATCAAATAAGGTCTAAATATAAAAATATAAAAAACAAAATTTCAAACTTGGCAATTAATTGGTAATTAGTCTGGTTATTTATATAACCACACATACACACACACAAACACACACACACACATATATATTTAAAATTGAATAGCATTACAAGTAACGAATTGTACAATTTTATCCATCATTAAATACTGAGGTATTTTTGGCTAAAAGATGGTTGATAGGTCTAGATATTTTTTTATTAAGACACTAAAATAAAAGATTATGATAGATATTTATGCTGATGATGTTTCACTTGCTACTACAACCTGTGATATATCGCTAAATGTTTTACAGTAGGTAACAAATGTAACTGTATACCAATCAGGTGTTGGTCTTAAAGAAGTTAAAAGCAGCCAGTCTATTGCTTAAAGAAAAATGAAAATAAAAACATATCAGTAATAACAAAAGAAGATGTTAATTTAGATACATCTTAATATCCATGCATAATTTATTTTGATGGCAAGACCTTGTTTGAGCTAAACAAAAGAAAAGTATTAAAGAGGGGTAGAATGGCTGTTTTAGTTAACATTAAGGAGAGACTGTAATACCTCCGCTAGTGCCACCCACTTGTGAAGATCAGTTTTTAGGTGTAAAGAATTTAATTAAGGAGTATCAACTTATGTAAAAAACTAGAGGAATATGCTTTAATACAATGTCATCTAATATTAGGACAAATAAAGGATCAGTTTCCAGAATATCTAAAGAACTGGATAAGTATCTTCTCCAAATAGCCTGTAGACATTATGTCTACAATGAATGCTTCACTTTTGGAAATTAGTGACCAATGATAAAACTAATAGACCTCATAATCCTCTTTTCAAAAAGCTAAAAAATATTTTTGAAGATTTTAATTTTAATTATAATACAGTTCAACTGTTACGATTTGATTGGAATAAGGTTAAAAGCTGTCTTTTAAAAAAGGCAGCTCATAACTTATTGACATTTTGCAGAGCATATGTTGGTAAAATAGGTATTATAAGAGATGATAGAATTGAGCTTACAGAGTTAGTTGTCATTTATTTATTCCATTTTACATATAAAGTAAGAAAAACTGGTGCTATTCATCATTCTAATTTTTAGGAAAAGCAATATATTATCTAAATCTTTAACTTCTATCCAATCAATTTGCATTTGTTCAAGAAAATGATAAACTGTAAAACTGAAATTAAGTATAAAGCAGAATTTATTGTTTACTTTTATGCAAAATGGTATCTTCAATCTGAGAATATTATCAAAGATTCATTTCTTGACATTACCGCCATACATAAAATGCATCTGCACAAGTATGTATGTACAAGTATGTACCCAATAGCTGTTGGTGATGTACATAAAATATATCTGTACAAGTATGTATGTACAAGTATGTACCCAATAGCTGTTGGTGTTGTATTCAGGGGTGTGGAGTCATAAAAAAACTGACTCCAACTCCAGTCGTTGAAATTTTCAGAGTGCAACTCAAACTCCAACTCCAGAGCAAAATTTTTGAAAAATCCTTTGAATTCTTTAAAAAATATTACACAATAAGTTCAAAAATTTTTTTTGCCAAATTTATGAAAAATTCTTTGAGGTTTAGTATAAATATAAGATTAATTGAATATTTTGTACATGCACGTGCAATACTGAGAGGTTTTACTATTGGAGTAGGAGTCGCAACTTTTTTTAGCTACTCCACAAGAAATGTCGCGACTCAGTATAAACATTGTTGGTATTTGGATTCAACATTCCTCTAGCTTTGCTAGATGATGAGTTAACATTAGAGAAAGCAAAAATTGCAATTGCATCAGCAATTCTGTCATTTGATATGCCTAGCTCAGACTATTATAAGCTTGAGAGCAAAGTAAAAGTTAATATCAAGAAAATTTAGAAAATGGATACAAATATTGGTAAAAAAACCTGTCTTTGTTAACAACTTTTCTTACCTGATTTTTGATATGATTGAGCTTGATAAGCAACAAGTTAAAGACTGGCTCTCACTTCCATAAAACTATTGGCATACTCAGTCATGCTTCAAAAAATTTCAAAAATATGCTAAAACTTTGATTTTTGTAAATGACCATTTAGAATGGTCTATAGGTATGATGGGACAGTATATTCATAGATATTCTTATGAAACTGAAAAACACAAGAGATTACTCACAGCAGACAAAGTTCGATCTGTATTCAGATCACCTTTTCTGCGAATATACAGATCTTTTTAAAAATTAAAATAATTCAAGAATGATAAAAAAATATATTAACTCTAAAATTTGCAATAAAAACAAAACCGAAGGGGTGTCCAGGACCAGTGCCAATGAGGGGGAGAGGGGGAGAGGATCCATCCAGGACTAATAATAATCTTATCTATTAATTTTTTTGTGTCCTTTTTTTTTTTTAAAGAAAAAAATTCTTTATGGTTCCTTTAACATTTACATATGTTAAAAAAACTAAAGTTACTTGGGCATGACTTTTTTTTTAACAGGTGGCTCTGCAGTCAAAACATAAGCATTCAAAAATGGCACAAGATTCTGTCCTTTCTGAAAAAAAAAATTAAAAAAACATTTAAAACAATTAGTAAATTATTTATTGGTAATTATTGTAATAATTATTGTAATTATAGTAATAAAGGAAACGTAATTATTGTAATAATTTATTAAAATAAAAAAAATTATAAGTAAATAAAAATATTAAAAAATAAAAATTACTTAGGAAAAATAAAATAACTATAAACTTAATTTTTTTATTCATAGAATTAAAACAACCAACATGTGTAAAAAATATTATTAATACCTCAGTGACTAATTTGCTTTTGAGTGATTTCATCTTTCTTCCAGCCTCTTTTCCAACACTATCAGGTTCAAACATTCCTGTAATCTCAGCACCAGGTGTTAAGAAACTGTGAAGAAGACTGCTAGTGCGAAGTACAGGGCTGCGCACTAAACGCTTAAGATTAAATTAAAAGCTGTTGTTACAAAAAATCATAATCTTTTATTTTAATGTCTTAATAAATAATGCAATCCATAGATCCTTCTAAATCAATGATAGAAACATATATATATATATATATATAAAAAAAAGGAACAATAAATAAGAAAGACTATTAGTGAAAGATGCAATAATAAATAATTTATTAATCAACAAAACTTTTAAAATAAATAGTTAATTTACTATTCAACAACTTTTCAAATTTCCATACTTTTAAAATTTCAATACTTTTAATAACAAACAAATTTATAAACACACATTCACACACACACAACACAAACACACACAGATTAAACATAAACACACACAGATTAAACATAAACACACACAGATTAAACACAAACACACACAGATTAAAAATTATAGAATAAAAGTTAAAAAAAAAAAAAAAATTTATTTATTAAAATTTAAAAATTAAAAAATAAAAAATCTAAAAAATTAAAAAATTAACTTTTATAATTTAGTGGAAAATTTTTTAAGTTTTTTAAATTTAAAAAAAAATGTTAATTACAAATTTTTATCACAAATATTAATTATTAATTGCAAATTTTTACAAATAATTTTTCATTATGTTTGATAACATTTGAAAATATAATTGTATGTTTTAGTAAGAGATTCCGATTAAAAACTTATTTGTGAACAACTTTTTCTAAAAAATAAAAAATAAATAGTTTAAATAACTTTTTTTATTTTTATTTTATAATAATTTAAATAAATTTTGAAAGTAAAATTGTAGGTATTTTTAAATTTTAAACTATTTTTATTAAATTATTACTAAATTAAAAAATTTGTTATATATGCAAACACAGATACATAACTAGATATATGCATACATACAGACATGTAGGTGCATACATACATACATACATACATACATACATACATACATACATACATACATACATACATACATACATACATACATACACACACATACATACATACATACATACATACATTCATACATACATACATACATACATACATACATACATACATACATACATACATACATACATACATACATACATACATACATACATACATACATACATACATACATACATACACACAAATGATAAACTAATGTTTTAACACACTTTTTTTACTACCTGTAAATATTCTTGAAGTTTAGTTTTAATTGAACTAAGATATTCAAAATCTCTTTTTAAAATAGTTCTTTTAGGTGGCAGTTCAACTTCATTGTTAAGGGATTCTATAAAACCAAGAAAAATAATAAATTAAAAAATTAACTTTTGAGAAAACTTTATATCAAAATATGTTTAAAAAATATAGCAATCACCATGGAAACTTTTGAGTTTACTGTCCAGCACATAGAACTCACTGTAGTTCCTACAAGTTAAAAAAAAATTGTCAACAAAATGAAAATCATAAAATGTTAAATATGTTTTTTCTACTTTCTACATGAGAACAGAGGTAGTGCTCAAATCTTTCTATACATAAAGCATAAATGTTGTTTCTGAACTGAAATTATTAATTATTAATAACGGAAATTATTAATTATTAATAACGGAATAATTAATAAATAATTATAAATTCTGAAATGAAAATTATTTAAAAAAAGCCTGGCAACAAAACTGTTATCTAATTTAAAAAAACTGTTATTAAACTAGTCTGCAAAAAAAAAAAAAAATCCTTCTGTTAAACATATCATTTAACCCCATCATATTTTCAAATATTTTTGAGCCTACTTTGCAAACTTTTTTAGACAACATTATTTACTTTTAACTTTTAATTTTACCACAAATTTCTGTTGCTATTGGAAGTTGTTTGAAAAAGAAAACAAATTTACTGTTTTTTTTAGATATTAAAAATAAAATTGTTTTACCTGTAAACCTGCCATTGAGATTCTATATAAAAAAGTAAGTGTAAATATAAAAATACAACTAAAAAAGTATAAATAAAAAACCGAAAAATAAAAATAACAAATAAAATTATAAAATTTAAAATCATGTTATTACTTTACATACATTCTAACCCTACAATGTTATGTACACCTTAAATTATGGTTTTATGTATAGGTTTAGATCTTAAACTAGGGTTTATGTACACTATTTACACTTAAGCAATCATTTTATATACATCTTTTGCTAAAGAAAGGTTTACCCGAACAACTTGGATTGCTATTGCCAACTCTTTCAATATTGATCACAAAAACAAAACTCTATAAAAATACATAATTATCCAATTAAAATTAAAAATGATTTACAAATATAAATAAATGAATTTAACTATACAAGGGCCATTTGAGACGATTTTGGAAGTCTGAGGTGCTTTAGTAGGTCTGAGATGCATTTGTAAGTCTGAGGCACTTTAGTATTTTTTTAACCCAACTGCCAACTAATTTTTAAAAGTTTGAGAGCAATCATTGGCTCTCAAACATAAAATGCCATAATGATAAAGGACCATCCCTAATATTTACTAAATGTATTTATATGTTTTTTTTTTACTATATTCACCTCCCAGGACTTTAACCTAGGCTTTTATCAAAAAGTCAATTATAAATACCATACTAAAATATTTCCTGTTTTAATGTTTACCATGTTTCACCTAAATATCGCTATAAAACTTTATTTATGTCTAATTGATATAAAGGAAAATACAAGTTAGATGTAAATATTGTATTCCAAATATCTTACAACTTTTGGTGAATTTTTTATCAAACTAAAATGAAAAAAATAACGATTCATGTCAATTATTGGACATGTACAACTGCCTTTCCTTGCATTGCTTTCTATTGAAAACAACTTATTGCAAGAAATGGCATTTGATTTTATTAATTCAAAGTGCTGCAAAGTTATTGCCACAAAGTTATATGATGTTATTTCTTGATTAAAGGCCAAAAAAAAAAAAAAAATTTCTGTATATCATTTTCTAACTTTTGCAGATCCTATACTTTTTCATGAGCCTGCTGATTATTAATAAATTAAAGCTGTGGATAAAACATTGGGATGTTGATAATAGTATTAGTTCAGGCATAACAGCACTCAATTGTTCAGACTGGTACTCAGTTGTTAAGACTGGTCTTATACTTGATTCTGTAAAACCCAACTAGTGGAATTTGCAACTCCCTTTTCGAATGTGAAAGTTTAGATTCGAGAGAAAGACTTGAACAAATTAAAATTTAAAAATGAAAAAATTACAAAATTAAGTCATATACTTTTATTTTTTGAATAAAAATTTTTTCTTTTACTTTTTTATTTTCTTTCATAACAAAGTCGATATGCGAAACTACAACATGCCAATAACTAAGATCATACATTTCATCATCACTATCATCTGCATCATCAAATTCATCACTTGAGTTGGAAAAAGCTTCATAGTTTTCCTGTTAACACAAATAACATTCAATCAAAAATAATTTTCAATAAATTTTAATAAAGTATACAAGTATTATAGTATCACAGTTTACAAATTACAAAAAATCTTACAAATAGTATATATAAATAATAATAAATATAAAATTTAATATCATTAAATAAAAATTAAAAAATTAATACATATAAAATTTAATATCATTAAATAATAAATTAACTATTAAAAAAGATATTATAAAGGAAGAAGACTGGTGTAATTACGTTAAACATTGAAAGTTAAAAAAACTTTAAATTTCTTTGTTTGACATTTTTTTATCCTTTGATTTGACATTTTTTTGTTTGACATTTTTTTGACATTTTTTTGACTTTGTTTGACATTTTTTTATCCTTTTTATCCTTTTTATCCTCCAACATAATCCTTTTTTTTATTTAATTGTTATCTCCAAAATATTTTTTTTTTAGTTGTTATCTTGAAAATAATTTTTTTGTAAGTGTCATCTCAATGAATTTTCCATTCTGATTTTGATATTGGTTTTAAATTTGAAGGTTTTTTGTCATTGTGCAATATTTTTACTTAAATTCTAAATTTGTACTAGATTGTAGAGCAAATATTAGCATATCAAACAGTGTATATAATTGCCTGAAAAGTATGCTCAACTGTCTAAAAAAATAAAAAAAAATTTGAAAAATTGTTGGCATGATAAATTCTTAGTTAAAAATAATAATGACAAGTTTTTTTTTGAGTTTTAAAATATATTTTAGTTGTGTAAAAAAAAATTTCAATTAGTTAAAACTTTCTCAAACTAAATAATAATAAAAACAAAAAAAGAAATGAATACTACTGATAATACAATAAGTATGTTAACTTGATTTATATAAAACAAATAAAATGTGTAGAAATTAATTTTTTGGTTTTCTGCAAAATTTTATTTTTCTTTCTTTTTTCTATCTTATATAAATAGCAAGAGTTGAATGTTTTAAGTAGTTAAATGATTTATCATGAAACCTCTCAAAATTGCATTATCATTGGTATGATATCAAACCATCATCATTGATATCAAATATAAAAAAACATAAAAGTTAGCACATATCAAGTTCAGATACATGTTGTATACAGCAAACCATATCATATCCAATTTTATTTATAAACATTTAGGTAGGACAGCTTTATAAATATTTAGGTAGGACAGCTTTATTAATATTGTCATAAAAAAACACTAAGATTCAAATTTTGCATATTCATTTTTTTCACTTAAAATAAGCTGAATTGTTTGTTTCAACACAAAACAGATTTTCTGCTAAATGTTCCTATGTTTAGCAGTGTTTTGCCTGATTAGAATGTGATAATATAGCAATAATCTGAAAATTAAAACATTATGTAGATTCATTTAGTCATTCTAAATAGTCTGTTCATTCTCACCCTGTTTCAGAAGTATGATAATGCACTAGCAAAATAAGAAAATTATTTATTGCATAGTGTAGATCAGAACAAAAACTTTTCAGAAAGATATAGCTATTAGTAAGAAATAGCTTTTAATTTTAATTATAAATAATAATAATAAACTTATCATTATAATATAAATACTATAATAATAAGTATAATTATAATTAAAAATAATAATAAGTATAAATAATATAAATAATAAAACGGAGTTTCTACTCGCACGCTTTTCACGTGCGAATAGACTATATTTAATTATAGTCTATTTGCACGTTTTATTAAAAAAAGGTAAAGATCATCAAGTTTAAAGGGAATTTAAAAAAATTAGATTGATTATTATTGGTTTTTAACTTTAAAATTAAACTAGTGCAGTGGAGTATTAATGCAGTACTTACGTTAACAGACTTTTGAAGGATATGTGCACCATAGTATATATACATATTGACTGCTTATCTAGGAATAGGCACAGTGTAGTATAAATACAATGATGAGGTTTTTGGCTTAAGCAGGCAATCTTTTAATTAAAAAAAAAAAAAAGTATTTCTTATCAAAGAAACACGTGTACTTAACTGGTGACTATAATATAAACCTGTTAAACCATTCTTCAAATGTAAATGTTCATTATTTTTTAAATGCTCTATTTCAACATGATATAATTCCAACTGTAAGCAAATCAACCAGAATAACTAACACTTCATCAACATTACTTTATAATAAATTTACTAATACTACTCATAATTGCCTCTTAGAATCTGCTATAATTAAAACCGACATAACAGATCATTTTCCTATATTCTTAATTTCAAATAATATAACAGATAATCATTCTGCTAAAAATTTATTATGCTAAGATGTTAAAAAAACCCCAAGGAAACACTCAAAAAACTTGGAATATGATTAATCAGTTAAATGGTAAAAATAAATGTTCAAGCAATAATTTGCCTCAAAAACTCAAAATTGATGGGAAAATAATCAGTAATAAAGAAACCATTGTTGAAAAGCTCAACGACTATTTCCTTGAAGTTGGCCCAAATTTAGCAGATAAAATTCCAAATATCACCACAAATTTCAAATCCTATATAAAACCAACCAATATATATATGAAAGAAGTTAATTTAAATATAAATGAAGTGCGTAATGCGTTCAATAGTCTGAAAAATAATAAATTCATTAGCATTGATCAAATTAGCGTAAACATAGTTAAAGCAATCTCGATATCATTGAACCATCTTTGTTTCATATTTTTAAATTTTCAATACAATTCAGTATTGTACCGGAGAAATTAAAAATTGCTAAAATAACACTTATTTTTAAAACTAACGATAACACAATTATGTCAAATTATAGACCTATTTCTGTCTTACCATGCTTCTCAAAATTACTAGAACGTATTATGTATGAAAGCCTTATTAAATATTTAACCAAAAACAAATTACTGTATAATAAACAATTTAGATTCAAAAAAAACCATTCAACATATCATGCAGAAATCGATTTAAAAAATTATATATCCGATGGGTTCAATAATGATTGTTATACACTAGGAGTTTTTATTGATCTGTCAAAAACATTTGACACAGTTGACCATGACATACTTATAAAAAAACTAGAACTTTATGGAGTAGTAAACCATAATTTACTCTGGTTTAAAAATTACCTGTAAAACAGGAAACAATACATAGTGTATAAAGAAAATGAAACAGGAAACAAAATTATAACTTGTGGTGTTCCCCAGGGATCCATCTTAGGACCACTTTTATTTTTGTTGTACATTAACAATTTATATTTAGCTTCCAAAACTTTAAATCTTATTTTGTTTGAAGACGACTATAATCTTTTTAACTCAAATAATAATATAAAAGATCTTTTTAAAATATTTAATGAAGAACTAATAAAAGTTAATGATTAGATCACTTGTAATAAACTATCATTAAATGTACTGAAAACTAAATTCTTGTTGTTTCATAAACCTAGTAAGAGTGATCACCTCCCTCTTAAATTGTCCGATCTCTTTATGAATAATTCAGTTATTAAAAGAGAATCAAATGTAAACTTCCTGGGAATAATATTAGATGAAAATTTATCATGGAAATCTCAAAATCTATTGAAAATAAAATTTCCAAAAATATTTCTTTTCTATATAGAGTTAAACCATTTCTTAATATCAAGTCTTTAAAAATTATATATTTTTCATTTATCCATAGTTATCTAAACTATTGCAATATTGCATGGAGAAGTAGCAACTATGAAAAGCTTAAAAAAATCTATAGTAAACAAAAAATGGCAAGCAGAATTATTTTGGCGTTAAGAGAACTGCTCATGGAGAGCCTCTCTTAATGGAACTCAATGCACTCAATGTTTATAAACTTAATATATATCAAGTTATGCTGTTCATGTTTAAAACAGTATGTAAACGTTTCTTATTAGAAATAAACTTTGATTTAAAATATTTATTTTAAAATTTGACTATAAAATAAATAAACTGAATAGATCTTCACCTTTTTTTTTTTTTTTTTTTTTGAAAAAGTCATTTTATTTTCTATTAAATATGCTATGACTGTAAAATTATGCTATTTTAATATCTTATTTTAACTTTATAATATCTTTGTAGAAATATATTTTTGTTTTTTATGTTACCTATTTTTATATTTTAAGCTTTTAAATTGTAATATTAAATGATGGCTTCTATGTAAACGGGGCTCGGCGATAAAACAATGTCTTCTTTTTGCTCCCGCCATTTTTATATATGTAAACAATTTTTTCTCATTGTAAACGGCAAATTAAATAAAAAAAAAAAATTAAAAAAAAAAAAAATGTTTATTTTATCTATTGCCATGTTTTTGTTTGTATTTTGAATAAAAATTTAATTATGTTTAAGTAATTTTATATATTCTTATAATAATTGATTAAAAAAACAAAATTGCTTTCAAAATATATGACTTAAGTTATAAACATATTTTTTTGTTAGAGATTTCATATTAAAAATCTAACTTGAAATTTTTTGTAAAATGTGCGAATAGATTTTAAATAAGATATAGTCTACTCACATGTGCGTGCGAATAGACTCACCATTAACATCATATATCACTTGATCTATTTTAAAATCCTTATCAGATACAGAACAACCCTTTTATTGTATATAAATTTTCTTGCTATGAATTTGAAAAAAATTTTTTAAATAAAATATACTTCCTTAGTCATACCAAAAACTAACCTCATTAGGAACTTCAGTTTCACTAGAGATTATATTGTCCGCTGAAACAAAACAAAAACACAAGAATTATTAAATATAAATGATAACCATAAACAATTTTTACAACTTTTTTGCTAAAATCTAATAAAAAGAGCTTACATTTTAAAACTTGCTTTTTAGCTTTTATTCGATTAGCCAGCTTAGATAGTTCAGCCAATGGCATAAACTTTCTTTTTTCTATATTACTAAGGTTAAAATAAAGTTAAAGTTTTAAAAACTTATATAAAAAGTTATAATTTTAACTTTCTCTAATATTTTACCTCTCAACAACTTTCTTTTGTTTTGGTGATCGGTCACCACAAATCAAGTAGAAAAACTAAAATTAAAAAAAAATAACATTTTTATGTTTTTTAAGTTTTTTTTTTTTGTCAAGAAAAACATAAAATTTTTATTATTATCATGATTCAATATGAGAATGATTGTGATAGATTTAAAGGGCGCAACTTTGTTGGGAAAATTACCGGTACCCTGATATTTTGGAGAAAAAAAGTTTTTTAAAAGTAGGTCAACCTGGTACTCAAAAGAAGCGAAATTTTATAAAAAATTCAAAAATATTAATCGTTTTATAAATATATTGCCAAAAAAAATTGTTATAATAATAATCGTTTTATATCATATTGCCGAAAAAAATTGTTATTAAAAAACATGTAAAAATGCACCTTTATATATATATATATATATATGTGTATATATATATATGTGTATATATATATATGTGTATATATATATATGTGTATATATATATATATATATATATATATATATATATATATATATATATATATATATATATATATATATATATATATATGTATATATATATATATATATATATATATATATATATATATATATATATATATATATATATATATATATATATGTATATATATATATATATATGTATATATATATATATATATATATATATATATATATATATATATATATATATATATATATATATATATATATATATATATATATATATATATATATATATATATATATATATATATATATATATATATATATATGATGATGATGATGATGATAATGATCATCATCATCATAATTATGTTCATGACCATTGCCATCATTACATTCATTAATATAAAGTAAAAATATTAATATAAAATAAAAACCAATCATAATAAGGATTTTATCAACATATGTAAACATATATAATAAAAACATCAAACAATGGATATTAACTTTTTTTTAATCAATGTAAATATTGCATATTGAAATAATCTATTCATTAAAATTTTATTTTGTCTATAAACTATTCATTAATGTCTCATAACAACAACAAAATTTTTTTACATAATATATATTTAGTGATTATGCAGTTTCAATAATAATACTTTAAATAATTTAATATAAATATAGATTAACACCTCATCGCTTTTGTGAAACAGAGGAACATAGTATTTTTCTAGCAGATCAGATGCAAACTCAAATGCTCTAAAAATACAGAGTTTATTTTTAAAACTGTTTCATTATCCATTAAAACTTTATTTATATTTTAAATTTTAAATTTTTATATATATATATATATATATATATATATATATATATATATATATATATATATATATATATATATATATATATATATATATATATATATATATATATATATATATATATATATATATATATATATATATATATATATATATATATATATAAACACTAAAAAATACATATGAAAATATATCTAGATTGAACCAATACCTAAATAGAGGAGAAGCAGTTCTTAGTTGAGTCATAGAATCATTTGGAGATAATATTGCTAATGTTTAAAATATTCAAAATAACATTAGAAAACATACTTCAAGTTAATACTTCAAGACAACATGAAATAACAAAATAATACTTTAAAATATCATGAGATATAAAAAAATACTTCCAGATAACACTTTAAGATAACATGATTTAAAAACTAATACAATTTAAAATTTTTTATTTTTATATAAAAAAGAATCACTCACCATCTTTAAACTCTTTAACTATATCATCAGGAAAATTTATTTTGTCAACAGCTTTGCTATCGAAATAATCTAAATGGATTTGTTTTGCCTAAAATAAAATAAAAATAATGAATCTTAAATGATAAATAATTAAAGTCAATATATATATTTATTTATCAATTTTTCTATAAACATTTGCTATATTTAAAAATATATGCCTCATCTAACAACTTGACTTTCTCACTTTCACTGAGATCCATGGCCAAACTGCGTTGATTAAACTCTTCTAATAAAACAAGTAAAAAATATGTGTAAATAAGTTAACCTTTGTATTAAATAACATAAGCATGATAGATATCAGCTATTAAAATAGTTATTTGAATTTTCTTATAAAAATTTCACAATTAAAAGCCAATAACTAAAATTAGAAAGCTAAAATTGTTTAAAGAAGTTTCTTTTGACTGCTTTCACAATTATTTTCAATTTCACAATCTTTTTTTTTTATTTCTATAAAACTGTTCTAATTCTTATATTAAACAAAACAAGTATTGAATTCTATAAAAAAAATAATCCAAAAACATGCTTTTCTTTAAAACACAAACTGCATTAAAATTGAGGAAAAAGTAATCAATAATTTAAATCTTAAGAAACACATTCTATTGTAAACTTTCCCATAACAAAACTTGCATAATTATGCAAAACTAATAAGCAAGTATTGTTTTGATGAAGTCATAAAAATTAAAATTCATCAAAAAATGTGAATGATGGAACAGAATATTAAAAAAAACATCTAAAAAAATCAAGTAAAGTTACTAGCTAAAATTAGTTAAAAAAGAATGAGTTCTAAAGAATACAACTTCACAAAAAAGATTGAAGCAAATGAAACAAACTGGATAAGCAGTTATAAAAAAGAAAACAAAGACATTGGAGTGACTAATGAAGGATTAGAAGATGAGAAATCATCTGATGTAGACCATCAGATCTTTAGCAATATAAATGAAACAGAGAACCAAATTGAAACAAAGAATAGTAAAAAAACACCAAAAAACAAAAAAGAAGAAGTTACAATAAAACACAATACTGAAAATAGAAAAATTTCTAACTGTGAAGAACATAATAATGACTTTGTTTCTGAAACTGAAAACAATATCCATAGTGGTTTAAATACTTATGCTGCGCTTAGTAAATCTTCAAAGCCAATGTCATTATTTGAGATGGTGAGTGCTGATCAAGAAAAAAACCTTCCCACATGCTCGAAATTCCAAAATGATTCTGAAATTTGTTTAGATGACGGAGTTTATAAGGAGTCGATACTCAATAAAAAAATTAAAGATAATATTTTTTTTAAAAGCAAACCATGTGAAAAAAACTTTTACAAAGCGCAAACTGTTCTTGATAAATCAAGAATACAATTAGCTGCAGGTAAAGAAAGCTACTTTGAAAGCTGTCAAAAAAACAAATGCAAATCAATATATAAAAATAAATTTAGCAATTGGATATTTACATTTTTTGAAGTTGTATTATGGACCCTAATCAATGTCACCATTCAAATGATTGAAAAGTCTCATCAATGCAGAAGCTTACGTATGCAACTACGACTATGGATTGGTTTTTCTGCAATCATAATAATTGTGCAAGTAGTTCAAACTTATGTTGAAAAAAACATTAGTAAAAAAAAAGTTATTTACAACTTCTTCATCAACTTCATTATCGTGCTGGTCATTCATCCACAGCCTCTTTGCTGCATTTTAGAAATTAAAAGCATATTTATATGGACAACAGTAAGAGTTATAATTTTATGCTTAGCTGGTGTGTCTGTATGCATAAGTTGGTTTTTAAAGAAAAGACAGGCATAACTTATAGAAAAGTTTACAATATTTTTCAATATTTGTATAAAAGTTTCAAATATCATAACAACACAATGAGAAAAATTCACAAAAAAATTATCATCCAAAACAAATTTTTTACTTACTACCACAATTGCAATTTTTAAAATAAATTTATTCAAAATAAAAGATTTAAAAAATTAGGCCTTTTCTTTAACATTAAATTTAACATAAAATGATCAATTAACAGAAAGTTTTTTTTTTAATTCAAACTCAAGAGATTAAACAAATTTAAAATAAAGTAATTTTTACAAGATGTGTTTCCTTATTTTAAATTAAACCGAACATGTAAGCTAAAATATCCAGATCAATACAATATTTTAGTGTTTTTTTTTTTCACTTAATACTTACCAACAGCTAAACAGAACTGTAACAAATTAAGAGCGTTTTCTCGTTTCATAAATTGCATCATTGGATAAAGGTATGCTGCATTATGCATTAAATCATATAATGACAGAGTTAAAGCCTAAAGTATTATAGAAATATTTGGAATCAATCACATAATTATATATAATTCTAAGAGTCAGATTTAACAACTTTATTTAAAACTACTTATATATTATTGAATTTTATAATTTAAATAAGATTCATTAAAACTTGTTTCATATTAAAGATTAAAAAAATAGCTAAAAAATATGCTGATGGAAAAAACAAGTAAAAATAAACACACACAGAGTTCGTGTGATGTGACCTTGATTTTCCAAATGATTCTAGAAATGTGACCTTCTCACTTAGTGGATAGTCAGGTTCAGGAAGCTTTAACAGAAGTAAACATTTACATATAATATTAAAATGCGTAAAAAAAAAATTAAACTCATAAATTATTAAAAATTATTCCTTACAGTGCTTTTATCTAAAAATATTAGCAAAAGATGATTGACAACATCCTAAATTAAAAATAAAAATTTTCACTTATCATCACAAGATTATGTTCAAATTTATTTTAATAAAATATGATTTCACTTCAATAAAATATTACAAAACATTTACACACATTTAAAACTAATATAAAAACCAAATGTTTTACATTTAATTTGTTCACATAAACAAATACGCCTAATGAAAATGCCTAATGAAAATAAACTTCAACAATCTCAAGTCTGTAGCAGTTAAGATACTTTCATAAGGCTGAGGTGTAACTTCATTTAAGGTTACTATGGTTACATTTTTTTTATAATTACTTTTTCTCCTTCTCAACACAAATTATTTATAAAAAAAACATGGTAATAAACTAAATTTATTAAAAAAAAGTATAAATTATATTAAACAAATTAGATTAAAGTTATATCTCACTGGTTCGGATATTTTTTCCATCAATGGTTTCAAAATAATACTGGAACATATTTCTTCAATCAGATAAGTTGATCCTCTAAAACCATAACAATAATTTAGCTGTATAACAAATACAAGGAAATAGTTTATGAAACAAGAACTTGACTGCACATACTAACCTACAGTCAGCTGCTTTTGAAGGCATAAGATAAGGTAGAATTGCATGCATTGTATATCTTAAATATTGAAGTTCAGCAGCCTCACTTTGCAAGCAGAAATGTTTGTAGAAGTTTTTTTTCTCAAACACAAAAGTTTGCATATCATCGTTTGGAGAAGCTAATAAACAAAAACTGCATTAAATCAATAATTCAAAATCTTAATTAAAAAAACAAAATCAAAGTCAAAAATTTTTTTTAGTTTAAAATTTAAACAATCACTACCTATCTGTTTTGATGTGAAAAAGCAATCCAGATGAATCATAAACTTTTTTAAACAATTTTTTAACAAAAATTGAGGAATGTTTTTCTAAACATTAGAAATAAATGACTAAGTAAAAAAAACAAAAGATAGTCAAAGTAATCAAGGCAAAATTTTTACAACATTCACCTTTTGTACCCTGTTTAAAATAACAGCTGCACAGTGACGAATCATTATACGAATCTCATCAATAAGCCTTTGATCGCGACTTATGTCCCTGTAAAAAAAGAGAACAACTTGAAAAAAATGACTAAATTAACTACAGTGAGGTTAACAAATTTTTTGAGAACAAAGTTTAGACTAAAAACATAAAAAATATTTTTTGAGGAAAAGTACTATGACTCTATGTCTCTAGGTATGACTTTAGGTTTTTAGGAATGACTTTAGGTCTCTAGGTACGATTTTAATTCTCTAGGCCTCTAGGTATGACTCTAGGTCTAGAAAAACACATCTAACTACAAAGACCCAAAATTATTTTTTTACAACTTCAACAAGTTAAGAGCTAAGGTAATTTTTAATATTTTTTTAAATTTTTTTCTCGTTTACACAAAAATATGATGAGATGACATGAATACTAAAAATTACAATCTAAAATTTTAGTTTTTATAATATACAACAGGAAAAATGTTACGAACTCTGATCTAGTAAACAATGATTAGATAAAAAATTACATAGTAAATGGTAAAAAAGACAGTAATGCCTTTTTTACCATTAACTATAAAAAAGACATAGTAAATAGTAAAAAGGACAGTAATGCCTTTTTTACCATTAACTATAAAAAAGACATAGTAATGGTAACAATTTTTAATGTAAAGATATAGTAATGGTAGCAATTTTGATATCTTAGATAGATGCTGTGAATGCTTAAAATGAATTCATAAAAACAAACTCTAGAATACAAAAATCTGGAGAAAAAGTCTGAAATGAAAGTTCTGTAATATAGAGTCAATGGAATTTCATTTTTGTAGTATAATGAAACTTTATTGGGTGTAGGTAATTTTCTTGGAAAAAAAAAACAGAAATGATCATTTTGCCATTGTTTTTTTCACTGGCTCTGGGTGTACATAAAAAGCATGCATATAATTTATTTTGGACTTAGAAATCATGTATTCATTTTTGGAAAACCTAAAGCCTGACAATAAACCAACAAAAATTAAAGTTTAAAACTTGTTCTAAGCTTTAAAACATTTAAATGACATTGTTATAAACTAATATTTTTTCATTAATTTGGGATATATAATATTTAATCCCATTTTAAAAGTTTCTTTTTAGCTCAAATCTAAAATAGTTGAACAATATATTTTGAGTGGATTTAAAACAACATAAATCTATATGTAGAAAAATTAGTAAAATTTAATTTGTGTGAAGCAAAGCAGAAAAATTAATAATAAGTTTTATATATGTTGTATGTTAGAGCATTTTGTGTTTTGTAAAATGTGTGTAAAAAAAATCTTAAACCCTTCTTTCTAAAGTTGTATTTTCATTTCAAATCTGCTAAAAGCATATAAAGTTTATTTGGAACTGTGCAGGTAGAAGAAATTTTAAGGTCTTAAAATATTTTAAGGAAGGGCTGTGTTCTGAGCATCAGTAAAATTATTTACCATATAAATTTTGAATTATTTTAACTACATTTAAAAAACTTACCAGTACCAAGAATAAACATGTGTTCCAAGAACAATTTCTAAAAACTTTAAGAAAATTGCAATGTAAAACTTTTTCATCAACTAATGTACATTATTACAAACTTATCATAACCAAAGGTATTCAAGAATTGCATGAATTAATATATAAAAATTGTTTTAAATTTTAGTTTCAAATATATATATATATATATATATATATATATATATATATATATATATATATATATATATATATATATATATATATATATATATATATATATATATATATATATATATATATATATATATATATAATTTAAGCCATTTTTGTATTTTATACAATTGTATAAAATTCAAAATATCATAACCAAAGGTATTCAAGAATTGCATGAATTAATATATAAAAATTGTTTTAAATTTTAGTTTCAAATATATATATATATATATATATATATATATATATATATATATATATATATATATATATATATATATATATATATATATATATATATATATATATATATATATATATATATATATATATATATATATATATATATATATATATATATATATATATATATATATATATATATATATAATTTAAGCCATTTTTGTATTTTATACAATTGTATAAAATTTAAAAAAATTTTAATAAATAAACTTTTTTTCCAAAAAATTGAAAAAATATTTAAGAACTGTTGAAAATAATGTCATTTACTGTATCTTTCATTACAAAAGAAACTTATAAAAAAATACCTCAGTAATAGCATCATCTACAGGCTTTGGCACTTTCAAACTTTCAAGTAGCTAAAAATAGAAACTTATATATATATAAATATATATATATATATTTATATATAAATATATATATATTTATATATAAATATATATATATATATTTATATATATATATATGTAAATATATATATATGTAAATATATATATATATATGTATATATATATATATATATATCCTCCGCAAATAATAAAGCAAATCCCCATCTCTATCTATGACAGATTTTCCTCAAATGAAAAAGTATTTAATTTATTTATACCAGAATACAAAGATGAATTAAGAAGAAATGTCTTCACTGGTTAATTATAAACCCCAAAAATGAGAAAAAAAAGAAAAGAAAAAGAAATATAATATGGTTCAACCCCCCATATAGTAAAAGTGTTTCTACCAATGTTGGACATATCTTCCTAAACTTAATCAACAAACATTTTCCAGCATACCACCCCTTAAGTAAATTAAAAAAGCCACAACAAGAAAACCAGTCTAGAAAGACCAAAATGAATACCAACCCTACAACTGCATAAATAAAGAAAACTGTCCTATAATAGGAAAATGTAGAGCCTCTAATGTTATTTATAAATGTATAATATCCCCCTAACAATCCAGAAAAAAGTATATATTGGCCTAGCAGAAGGTGAGTGGAAAAAAGGATGGGCTAACCACAAACACTCATTCACAAACAAAAAGATGAAAAATTCACTCTTTCAAAATATATATGCTAGATAAAAGAAAACTTAAAAATAACACCCAAATTAACCTGGTCAATAATTAAACAAGTCCCCGCCTACAGCAACGTAACAAAAAATTGCTTGCTTTGCCTTCATGAAAAACTTTGCATAATATCATACAAAGGTACGCAAGAATTGTTAAATAAAAAAACAGAAAGAATATCTAAGTGCTGTCACAAAAACAAGTTCTTGCTTGACAACCACGAGCCCAAAGATTAAAAAACCCAACTACGCTCGAAATAGTAACAGTTTTATAATTGCTTTTGAACACCATGATGTTTACTAAGAATATATTTTTTAACAAAAAAACAATGTATTTTTTTACCTGATGATTGCTAAACGCATGAAACTAAAAATTATGTAGTTATTTTTATTTAATTTCGTCAAAAAATCAATTACATATTGATTTTTTTTATTTTTAACACTAAAATAAAATGAAAACAAGTTTATAAGGTAAATTTGTTAGAGGAGTTGTTTTTATTTCTCTATTTAGTAGACCATTTTATCAGTCTTGTCTTAAAAAAATCATGATATTTTTACTTAACCTAAGGTACGAATATTTGTATTTATATTTGTATTTGGAAAATGCAGAATAAATAAATTTGTATTTGAATTGTATTTGGAAATTTAGAATTAACATATTTATCTCGCTTTATAAACTTCATCTTTTCTCTTCCAGTAACTTGCAACTCTAATAGTGGTTGCTTGCAGCTTTGTTGGAAGTTAAGATATTTAAAAAAAAAATGATTTTGACATCAACCCTGATGGAATACAATATTTTTTGTTAAGCATTGGTTTGATGAAGGGTATTCTTTTTAAGGCAGTTGCAGTTTGTTTTAGGTAAAACTTTAATGTTGTTTATAATGTGGCGATTGTGTAACTTATTTTTATTGTGATTCTATTGAAAATTTTATGGAGTTTATGATTCATTGGGGAGTTTTTATTTATTAAGGTTAAAAAGCTTGTTCTTATATCAGTGCAAACATTTTTACTGAAATGAGGGTTGAACCAAATGATGTTGTGCTTGCAGTTATTGGTGAGAGATAATTTTAAATTAGGGCGGCATGAAACTTTGTCATTTTTTATTGCTTTTTTTCTTGATGCAAAGAATAGATATGAATGATGATTACCTATAAGCATGAAAGGTTTCATTACAATTAGATCATCAATTAGTTTCATCAGAATTAGAGCTAAAAAAATCATCTTTTAAATTTTTGACAGGTCAGGCATATGGTCACCCTGCTACTCATAACATGTAATCCAGTGCAACCTGTTCCTCATCCTCCTGCCTTGTAGGATTCACTTTCTAAGCAAAAGCTAGAAGAAGTATACTTCCCTGTCATGCTATAGTATTAGTTAATATCTGTCATGCTATAGTATTAGTTAATATCTGTCATGCTATAGTATTAGTTAATATCTTTCATGCTATAGTATTAGTTAATATCTGTCATGCTATAGTATTAGTTAATATCTGTCATGCTATAGTATTAGCTAATATCTGTCATGTTATAGTATTAGTAAATAGTATTATATAGTCACATAGTATTATTATTATATTTTGTTGTCTTTTATATATTTAAAAGTGTATTAGCTCATGTGTTAGCCAGTAATTTGCTATAAATGTATACTTATGCTCTGTCTAAACCTCTGGCGTAGTGTTCACTAACCTGTAAGTTGGTATTTGTATGTTTGTGTTTTTTTTTAACCTCTGTGCGGTGTTTACTAACCCATAAGTTGTTATTTTTTTTAATTTTGCTCACAAAATTCCAAGTTCAATCCCTACTACATTTTCTAATAGTGCTGTACTCAACTTCCTGGATCTAGGCAGGTATGGAATATACCATGGAATATACCTTTTATTCCTTCTTGTCCATTCCAAGTCAAGCCTCGTTCTACTTTATGCTTTTCACCTTCTTGAGCAGCTGCTATATCGAATCGTAATCAAGTTTTTCATCTTTTTCAAAAGAAAAACACCTTATTATAGCAAGAAATCAATTTAAAAAGGTGCTGTTTAATGCTAAGCTTCATTACTCCCAGTTTACTAAATCTTGTATCTTATATCTTGTATAAAGGTAAGTCTAACATTCCATCTCTAATTCATGGGGAAAATTTTATTACCTCTCGCAAGGATAAGGCAAAACTGTTTTCAATTTTTTTTTTGAATCTTACGACCATGCTCTTCCTGCCATTTGAATTAAATACATTAACCCATTGTTAGACAATCAAATCACACCAGCTTCCTCTTGTAAAGTCATATCTTAATTAAACTCTTCTACGGCTTGTGGTCTAGACAACATTCCTGTCATAATCTTAAAAAAGTGTTATCAAGAACTCTCATCAATTATCTTTAAACTACTTAATAAGTGTTATATATATGTAAGTATATATGTAATACTTACTTATATATATATATATATATATATATATATATATATATATATATATATATATATATATATATATATATATATATATATATATATATATATAATATATATATATATATATATATATATATATATATATATATATATATATATATACTAGGTTGGTTGAAAAGTTCGCGGAGCGGAAATGAAAAAACAATTTTATGATTCAAAAAATGACTTTATTCTTCAGTATATTCTCCCTTAAGAGCAATACACTTTTTCCAACGATTCTCCAATTCATGTATCCCATCTCTGAAGTGCGATTCCGGAAGGCCTTCAAAATACCCATTTACGGCTGCAATGACTTCTTCATGTGATGAGAAACGCTTTCCACGTAGAAATTTTTTGAGATGTGGAAAGAGGTGGAAGTAGGACGGAGCCAGATCTGGTGAATAGGGTGGATGTTCCAAGCGTTCGTACTTTAATTCGACCAATTTCGCCTTTGCAACATCGCTGATATGAGCAGGTGCGTTGTCCTGGTGATAAATGATTTTTTTATGCAGCAAACCAGGTCTTTTCTCATGAATTTTTTTATCCAACTGGTCCAAAAGATTTTTATAATATTCACCTGTTATCGTTTTACCGGTTTGAAGGTAATCTATTAATAAAATTCCTTTCGCATCCCAAAAAACTGATGCCATAACCTTCTTTGACGATTTTGACGCCTTCACTTGCTTCGGAGCTGAACAACCGGGTTCTGTCCACTCTGCAGTTTGTTGTCGCAGCTTCGGATCATAGTGGTAAACCCAAGTCTCATCCATGGTTACGAATCGACGCACAAAATCTGTTTTATTCTTTTGAAAACGGGCCAAATGTTCTTGAGAAAGTTTTACTCGAGTGCGTTTCTGATCCAGAGTTAGCGAATGCGGCACCCATCTTGCCAACAGCTTTCTCAGACGTAATTCATCGTGCAAGATGTGTAATACCCGTTCATCTGAGATGCCCACAGCCTCAGCAATTTCACGTTTGGTCAATCGTCTATCATCCATAACCATGTCATGCACAGCATTAATCGTTTCTTCAGTAGTAGCACTTTTTGGACGTCCAGAGCGAGGGTCATCTTCAAGGCTTGAACGCCCACGTTGAAACTCCGCAGCCCATTTGCATACTGTTGTTTTTGAAGGAGCATCATCACCCAACACATTTACCATTTCATTATGAATTTCCATGGGCTTTAAACCTTTTTTCACAAAGAATTTTATTACAGCACGATGTTCAATATTTTCCATTTTAAAAAATACTATGACACGTCTAATTTCAATAGCTTGTAAACAAAGACTGAAATGACATATCGACTTGAAATTTTTTATGCGTTCATACGAAGAATGAATACGTTTAATACAGTTATAAATTTGTTTCTACTACTGCAACATAGGTGCCGCTCCACGAACTTTTCAACCAACCTAGTATATATATATATATATATATATATATATATATATATATATATATATATATATACATGAACAAAATACTCTGAACTACTCTTTATATATTTTCGAAGCACAACTAAACATTGTCAAAGCACAACTTAACATTGTCAAAGGTTTTTTCACATCCCTTTAAATCCTGCACCCATATCAATGTTGAACATGTTGTAATTTTTTTATCACAAATATTGAAAGCAAACTTTTAAATATGTAAGTATATATATACATATACATATATATATGTATTTATATATATATATATATATATATATATATATATATATATATATATATATATATATACATATATACTTACATATACATACATATATAAATGTGTGTATGCATATATATATATATATATATATATATATATATATATATATATATATATATAAATATATATATATATATATATGCATACACACAACTAAGAAACAGCTTCAGTCACATAATTTTTTGTTCTACCAATCTAAATGATTTTATCTTATGCGGTAGTGGTGTAGTGGTAGAGCGCTCGCTTCATAAACGAGTGGTTCCGAGTTCGATCCCCACCACGTCCCTGGTAGTACCGCGCTCAACTTGTTTCTCCGCGCAGCGGCCTTGTTCGTCAAGGTTCGTGTTTCGGAGTTATAGAGTTGAGAGAGGGTTATAACCACAAATAAGTAGCCTCCTCGTCTGTAGTGGCCTTCTCGGCCTTGAGGAGGTGAATTAAAATAAAAAAAAAAAAAAAAAAAAAAATACAATCTTGCATAACTTACCATATACTTAAGTCCTTTTAATTTACTGTAACTGTTCCTTTATGCTTAACAGATTTTTATTTGTCTAATTCTTTTTCTTGAACATCAACGCTATGGAAGTTTCAGTACCTCATACAATTTACAATTTTTAAATTCTTTAGTCAACCATTTTCTTGCCCCTTAAATCTCTACTTTACTTTATAGAAATTTAAGTAGAGGCTGTTTTGCAGCCTTATTAGATGTAAAATTTGCGGTAAAATTAAGCCTAAATCAACTTAACAGCAGTTTCAGAAACTTGCTTTATGTTTGATTTAATTAAAATTTGTAAAATGTTATTGCTCATTTGAGGGCAGAGTTTTTAGTCCTTGGCCTTGCCTTAAAGCCAAAAATTGTGGCCTTGGCCTTGGTCTTGGCTTTGAAGCTGTTGGTCTTGGTCTTGGCTTTAAAACTGTCAGCCTTGTGTCAATTAGAGTTGTTAACAAGACCAAAAGTAGGCCAAGGCTAAAATTTTCAAGGCCAAGAAAACTTTAGCCTTGGCCTAGATTGTTTTGGCCTTGGCTTTTAAAAAAAATACATATTTACTTATTGATTTCGTTGAATTCTGTACATAACCTTGGTCTATTTTTACAAAATGTGGTTTTATTGTCACAGCTACACTTGCTACAGTTTTGTTAATAAATGCACTTAACGTAAAGCAAAAATTAAAGTCTTTGGTCTTGAAAATATTTGCATAGGCTCTGGCCTTGACCTTAAAACTCTTGATCTTGGCCTTTTAACTTTTGGCCTTGGTCTTGGCCTTAGCGTGTGAACTTGGTCTTGGCCTTGCTACTTTTGGTCTTGTTAACAACTCTAATTGACACAAGACTTTTATCCCTGGATTAAAATAGCTGACAAGGAAACCAGATAAATTTGCTTTAATTCCAAACACAACTTTAGCTAAATAGTTAAGCTAGCATAATGTTAAAAAAACTTCTGTTGGATTTCATATTTAACTGCTATGAAAGTAAAAACCAAAATATATTTTAGAATTTTTTTTTAATAGTCTTGATTTTATATTTACCAATATAAACATCAAGACTATTAAAAAAAATACATACTCAAAAAAGAAAAAAAAGAAAAAAAAAATACTAAAGTAAACAGAAACATTTATATTTACCATTTTCACAAAATTCCAGGAATATTTTTCTATAATATAATTTAAAGACTTTTAAAATTATATTATAGAAAAATATTCCTTTTTAAAATTATTATTAGCAATTAAAAAAAGGTTTTTAAATAATTAACTCCATATTCGTTCACTTGGTTGGTTTCTATGCTTTGAATTCATAAAATCATACAAACTCCATATTTGTTCACTTGGTTGAACAAATATGGAGTTTAAAACAAGAGCTTATTACTGAGTCTTCACTCTATTTATATTAAGTTAACAAATCGTAAATAAACTTCAGAAAGTAGACAAGTACCTAATTCCAGTTTACCTACTAACTTTGATAATGGTTTCATGAAATAAATAAAATGTTGACAGGCTTCCAAAAAAGTTTGCCTTGTATAATATTTATATATTCTAAATTTTTTGTGAATAATATGATATATGCAAGGTTTTTTGTGGATAATAAGATATATGCAAGGTAGAGTAAAATCAAATGGACTAATTTGTTTTCAAGATTATGGTCAACTGATGTATGATGGCTATACCATTGTGTTAAAGCTGTACGTGCATGAAATTTTCAGTGTTTTTCCAGTTGCTTCCAAGCAGTAGAATCAGCTAATGCAAAAGGTACTCTGTATAGAAAAACATCCTTGCATATGATTTAAATATCTTTTTGATGTCATCTTTGAATATAGAGCACTATAAGCAAAGATGAATATAGTATCAAAGTATGAATTTAGCATAGTTCTTTTAGCAGGCTGCCCAGAAACTTAATGTTCATAGGTTTATGAGGTCATATTATTATCAACAAAATACTCTGAACTACTCTTTATATATTTTCGAAGCACGACTAAACATTGTCAAAGCACAACTTAACATTGTCAAAGGTTTTTTCCCATCCCTTTAAATCCTGCACCCATATCAATGTTGAACATGTTGTAATTTTTTTATCACAAATATTGAAAGCAAACTTTTAAAAACTTTTGAAAATACCAGCTTATTTGCTTGAAAAATGCAATAAAAAGTGAAACTCTGAAAAAGAAACTTCCAGAATATAAACATAAAACGCTTTTTTTCTTAATATTAAAAAATATTTTTACTGATTTTTTGTGACTTGCAGTTTTCCCATTTTCAAGGCTTCACAGTCCATAAATATTGTACTTTGTATAGGTGTATTTGTTTCCAGATTTTCCAAGTTCATTAAATTTTCATGTTTTCTTTACAACACTGCAAAGGAAAGGTATTAATTTTATGTCTCATATGTGTATTTATCACAAGTTGGCAAGAGTTCATTTAACTAACAATGCACAAAACAATTATTTAGAATGTTGTATTTAAACTCTTTTTGTTCCCATTTTCATCAATAAATGTCTTGAATTTAACTGTTTGTGCTTTTTATTTGATAGTTTTTAGCAATATATGTGTTATTTATTTTTTTTATTTTCATTTTTAGCAATATGAATTCTATTTACAAAAATTTACTTACAAAGGTTGGTTGGCTGGTTGTTTCTGGTCTAAATTATGAAAAAATACTTTTAATAATATCAAAACAAACAACTTTAATAAAAAGTAAATTTTAACTAGATTTTTTATCAAAACATGGAGTTATAGTAAAAAACAGCATACTTATGACGTGAACAATCTTTTTTCAAACAAACTCCACATCCCTTCTTTTCATTTTGTACTTCTTTAAGTTCTGCAACTTCCTAAATAATATTACTTTTTGATTTTATGATTATGATTTCAAACAAGGCCTACTGGAGTTAAAATCGTAAAGCTGACATATTTAAAAAAAAAAAGTTTTTCAAAAAAAATAAAAAATTAAAGTAAATAAAAGTAATCATTAAGTAAATAAAAGTACAAAGTTAACAAAAGCAACTAAAAAGTGAATAAACAAGTAATCAAAAGTAAGCTCAAAGTGAGCACAAAGTAAAAAGTTCAAGTAAGCTTTACATTTTTTTTTAAATTGTTTTAAAAGGTATTTAACTTAAACAGCTAAAAATAATAATACAAATTGTAACAATTTTCACAACATATCTTGATTCAATTATCATAGTGATTTCGACAACATAAATTATCATAAGTTATAATAAATTATTTTATGTCAAAGTTTACATTTTTTATTGAGTATGTTCTTTCAACAATTATTGAACTGACAAGCTTTAACATGAAATAACTAAAAAAATAAAATGTACTCTCATTTTTATGAAATTCTTTTTCAAAAATTTTGGTTTTAAGTTTTTAATATTTAGGATGCAAACTTTTAAAATAATTTTAACACTGAATAGTAATTTTATTCAATATTATATAATTAATTGAGTATTTTATAATTTAATTAAGAATTAGGTTAACTAGATTTCTATTTTTATTATTTAAATTCTATTATTTAACTAGTTGCTATTTAATTTTCTTATTAATTATCCTTTATTAACATAAATATGTAAAGTAAAATAATAAACGAAACAAAAAAGGATATCAAGCAAGTTTACTTTTGAAAAATAAAGTGTTTAATAAATAATATTGGATAATAAGCACCTTCACTGTTCCAGTAAGTTCAAGAAGCAGAAGTAGATTTGGAATAACTTTGTAATTTCTATAAAGAAAATTTTTAAGAATTAAAATACTTTAAAAATTCATTATTTATACACATATATAATATGTGTATATATAATTTTTCAGATGTAATTTTGTTATATAGAACACATTTGGGGGTAGAGAATGAAATCAAATACTTTTTTCAAATGGTTTATCAGAACAGGTGAAAAAAAAAGTCAAAAAATACTCAATATTTTTACAGATACAGAAAATTAGGATAGAAATTATTGGGATTTTGAGAACAAAAATATTTTTGCTACAACAACATTAGAAAAAAATACTCAATATTTTTACAGATACAGAAAATTAGGATAGAAATTATTGGGATTTTGAGAACAAAAATATTTTTGCTACAACAACATTAGAACCAGAGCATTAAAAGCAACTCTAATTAAACATTTAAAAATAGTTATTAAATTTTTAATTTAAAATATTTCTTCTCGTTTCTTACCCAGGATCACTTTTTTATTTATTATTCTTTTCATGGTATCTTTACTAAACTATACATCAAACGAAAAAACTTAAAACATATCAAAATTTTATAATTGACTAATTTTTATTATTACAAATAGTAATATAGAACAGATCTTTATCTTATCCTTTATAACCCCTTTTAAGTTATTAAACAAGCTTTTTTGTTATAAGATCCCTTCATTTTGTTTTCTTGCTCCTTTCATTTTGTTTTCTTGCTCCCTTCATCTTGTTTACCTGATTCATATAATTTGCAATCTTTTAAGTCATCTGTTAATCGTTACTTTGCTTTATAATCTTCTTACAGTAACTTCCAACTCTATTAGTGGTTGCTTGCAGCCTTGTTGGAAGTGAGGATGTTTAAAAAAAAATCTATGAGCAATAAGAAAAAGACAAGTGGTAGTAGTAGTAATGTAATAGACGCTAACTAACTTTTATGTTAAAATCTTACCATATACACTTTAGGGGATAACTTTATCGACTTAAGGGAATATTACAGATCCAATAAATGATAGAATCTATAGTATATGATGGTAGATTCCATTAATTCTAAAAATGGCTGATGAAATAAGCCACATTGCTGTGTTTTAAGAAAAATGGCTCAGCTGGTCAACTTCTGTCCTATAAGTGTTATACCAGGTCTATCCAAAGTTTTTGAAAGGGATCCATATGAGCAAATTAAATTTATTGGGCTTCAATAAACTATTGTGTGGTTTCTGTATGATTTAGTAAAGTATTAATGAATGTGTTTTCTGTTATTGTTCTTTTTACTTAATAAGTTGCACGAGTATACTGATAATCAAAAAGTTGTTAATACATCTTTTAAAAGCATACAGGTCAACAAAATAAAACTTTTTTTTCTCTCATCACAAACACTAAGGTTTTCTAAATTTATATACAATGTTGAATCCAAATCAGGATTTCAGTTTTGAAGAACAAAACTAGTTTCAGTTTTGTTCTAGCACATATAGTTTTTTAAAATACTTACATTTTTGTGTATTATGAAAATGTATGTAACTATATGAAAATGGAGTGTTTAAAAAATCAAATTTTTGACAAACCATTTATTTGGGAAAGGTAACATAAATTAGGGTGGGCTAACAAACCACAATTTTTAAAACATTAAAACATTAAAACATCATATATGGTATCATTAAGCATTAAAACATCATATATGGTATCATACAATTTATTATCTTATTTACGTGATATTTTGGCTCATATAGTGAGAGCCATTATCAAACTAATAAAACTGTTAAAAAAATTATGATGAGTGTAACAAAATGATGTCTTTGCAACGTCAGATATTCAACATTTTTAAACTTTACAAAAAGTGGTTTCTAATAGTGAGTCAACACCAAATCGCCATTGCCATGATTTAAAACGTTTTTTTTTAGATTTTGAACATTGCACATGTATTTCAATGGCCTCACAAATTTTTTTTGTGTAGTGGTTTGAAATAAACATTATATATATATATATATATATATATATATATATATATATATATATATATATATATATATATATATACATATATATATATATATATACATATATATATATATATATATATATATATATATATATATATATATATATATATATATATATATATATATATATATATATATATATATATATATATATATATATATATATATATATATATATATATGTATATAATATAAAAAGGGTTCTAGTATGAATGAAAAGTTTTGATAGTTATAAAAAGCATCTAAAATATAATTTTCTTTAAAGGAAAAACAGTTTTATAACAATTTTTTGTTATATTCAGAGTAAAATTTTTTTGTTATATTCAAAAATGCAAAGAAAGAGATGGAAAAACTAAAAAACTATACTGTGGACCGAAACAAGCAAGCTTAGTTCAATTGGTTACGGAAAATTTATGGCTCTTGTTCCTTAAAATAGGCCAGAGTAAAAGCGACTCTCAATGGAAGAAAACCCCTTTAGAATATTTACATTTTTTTTTTTCAGGGTGCTGTTTTTAATCTTGCAATTGTTAAACATTGCTCTGAAAGAACTGCTAATAAAGATCTGAAAGATTTAAACTCATAATAGACAAAATTGATATTGCCAGAAAGGAAGAGAAAAGACACAATTCAATTTTATTCTTACACAATTACAAATAGAAGTATAGAGAAAAAAATAAGACCTCCAAGAAAAAAAAACAACAACATAAAATTATAACATAATTATAATTATAACATAAAAAAAGAAGTTTGTCAAATGAAATTGCTAGATGTTTTACGCAATATATCAAGTATTTTTTCCAAATGACTTAACATATCTAAAAAGTTATTGTGTTGCATAAAAATCAGAAAAATTGTTTAAATTTGTAGTTTTGTAGATACATATACATAAAATATTTCAGATAAATAAGCATAACATGCACTTTTATATGTTCCTTCTAACTTAGAAGAAACTCTGGAAAAAAAAAAATTGAATTATTTTGAGTTTTAGTACTCGCTCAATTGTGCCAAAAATGGGATTACAAAAGAGTAAAAAAAGTCTAAAATAAGAGGCACTTGAGGCACTTAGGCAACCCCTAAAAATGGTCAAAATAAAAAAATAAAAAATTCTACTAATAAAATAGGGTTCTGCGCAGCAGATGAGACCCCAGCAGCAGATGAGACCCCATGGTACTTTAAATTTTTTTATGATCTCAAATTAAAGCAGTCTATTGCATATCCTTTAATATGCATTTAATTTTAAGTTTTCCACAGATATGCCATTGATGATTGTCATACTTGATTGCCTTAATTAATATATCCATAATGTCATATCTCTTGCACAAAATAGACAATAGACATAGATGGCTTAACATTTCTATGATACAAAAGTATTGCTTTCAGGTTTCTCTGCAAAGAACCCATGAAGAGATGCCACTCAGATGCTGCATACATTTGAGATAATTCTGTGAATAGTCTATTTATATCATGATAATAACAGAGAGGGCCATTTACTGTAAAGTATGTTGCTAAGTTAGTATTCCGCTTTTGGTAGTAATTGTTACCAACATTTTTGTCAAATAAATTGTTCACCTGTAGTCTCAAGTCAAGAAGCTGCTTTCTTTTTAAGAAGTGATAGGTCTCTAATAAAATCATTCAATTTTCCTAGGTTAACAGCTTCAACTTAAAAATTTGTTTCGTCTAATGTATAATCAGGATCTGCAGACAGTCTTGGAATGCCACCAGTTGCAACATTATCACTATCCACTTTATCTCCAATGCAATTGAAATGAGCAATTCTATACAAAGCTTCACTGGCCTACACACTAAATCCATTACTAGATTACTGAATCCACTATTTTTGCCTAATCATAACATTAACAAATAAACAAAAACCCATAAAATAATATAATTCACTTTTAACAAAAACCATGTGTTCCAAAAATTAGTGCCAAAAGTGTATCTAGGCAACCCAAAATTATCTTGATAATTTTGATAATTTTTTCTGAAAATTTATTATGTTGACCTGTGTTATCATTTAATCTTTTAAAAGTATAAAACTTCATTCTGCATGATTTATTATTGCTAAAGTTAGAGGCATATGGATTTACTAAAAAAGCCTTAAACTACTTACTTAGGATCTTCTGTTTCTAATTGGTTTGGTATTTCATTTAAAATGCCTCAAGGTTCCATTTTTGGACCCATTTAATATTTTTTATAAATGATCAATTTTTTTAATATTCTTATAAATGTTTTTTTTTTTAAACTATATTTATAAATGATCTATTTTTATTAATGAAAAATATTGAACCTTGAAAATTTTGCAGTAATAATAAAAGTAATAATACTTGGATACTTTGCAATATATAAGTAATAATAATTTTATTTAAAGTAATTAGTAGTAATTAATAGTATTTAAATAGTAATTGAAGTTTATTTTCTTTTTGAAAAGAAACTAATTTCAAATAAATTCAAATTATTTTTAGTTGGTTTAATACCAAAAATCTACTATTGATAAAGATCTAAAACTTTATTTTTTTATACACAAGTAATTTTTTTATCCATTGATCAAGTTACTTTGTTTTTTAACATCTTTATCTGATTCCTCTTATAATTTCGGTATTTCGTTCAAAAACAGAATGGAATTTTATTAGCACTTTTTAATAAAAGATTTAACAGTTGTTTAATAAAAAAGTTGAATGTTAGAGTAAAATCATCATCATAAAATATATTTTTTTATCTTTATGATTGAAGGAAAAGTCAACTGATGAAAATGTCTAATCCCAGTTACAGTGGCTACCGAAAATGAAAATGAAAATCACCAAATTTGATTTGTACTAGCTCTATTTTTTTTTCCAATAATAATGTAGTCTTTTTTTTACCAAGTACTTGCTTTCAATACTTGTTATCATAGTAAAACACTTTTACAAATCCTAAAATATCTTTGCTGATTTAAGCAACATTACGACACATCTTCATAATGTTGCTTCTCTTTCTCTTTTCTACAAAGACTATAATGGGCACTGCTCTAAAGAGCTAGCGTCTCTTGTGCCAT